CCTGCAGGAGGGCAGAGTGGCGGAGGAGGACAAGGAGCAGGAGGAGGAAGAGAAGGCCAGCCAGACAACCATGCCTTCCAGCCAGGAGCTGCTCCTCACTTTAGAGCCATACCCCCTATTCTAGGACATCTCTTAGGCTTCCAAGGAGCATAGGAAGGGCACTTCAGGTGAATTCTCTACCTTTCCCTATCTACAACCAGGGGCAGGTGCTCTCCTGAGGGCACTGGTGTGTATCTGCTCAAACTCTCTGGCTAGACATTCTGCCTCAGCCCCACACCCTGGCAGAAGAGTCTCCCCCTTGCTTTCACACAGATTGTGGAGCACACAATAATCTGCCACCACCAAGGGGATGTTGCACTCTCTGAGGTACAGGTGGGTGAGGAGACTCCTGAACCTTCCCTTTAAATGGCCAAACACACATTCCACGACAATTTGGCCCCTGCCCAGCCTGGTGCTGAACTCCTCCTTGCTGGGGTCCAGGCTGCCCACATAGGGCTTCATGAGCCAGGAGAGCAAGAGGTAGGCTGAGTTGCCCAGGATCACTATGGGCATGTCCATCTCGCCGACTCTGATGAAGCAGTCAGGGAAAAAAGTGCAGGTGTGCATCTTTGAGAAGAGGCAGGAGTTCAGGATGATGTGGGTATCGTGTGCCTTTCCAGACCATTGGGCATTGATGTCAGTGAATCATCCCTTCTCCATGGTGCTTCAGGCCCTCATGGATTAGAAGTACCCCTTCCTGTTGATAAAGTTGGGGGATAGTATGGGGATGTGCATGCCATCTATTCCCCCCTCCCTCCACAGTTGGGGAAGCCATGGCAGCAAAGGCATTCACAGTGGTGTCCCCATTTCTCAGAGTGATGACCCTCCGTAGCATCATGTGGTTTATAGCCTTGGTTACCTACAGGAGCATGGCCCTGACTGTGGATTTCCCCAAGCCAAACTGGTTCCCAATGGAGCTGGAGCTGTCCGGTGTGGTGAGCTTCAACAGAGTGACAGCCAATTGCTTCTGCATGAAGATGGCAGATCTCAGTCGGGTGTCCTGTCACCTGAGGGTAGGAATGAGCCATTTACAGAGCTCCAGGAAGAGGGTCTTTTTCATGCGGAAGTTGCGCAACCACTATTGATTGTCCCATCCCTGCAGGATGATGCAGTCCCAGCTTGTCTCCCTTCCCTGGACACCACACAATGCCACCTCTGGCAGACTGAGGGGCATGTGCAACAGCAGGAGCACCAGGACCTGGGTGAGCAGGGCCTCCAAGCCATGCTGGGGTTTGTCTTGCTGGTCCTCATCCTGCGGGAGCAACATGCAGGCAGTTTAGAAGAACTGCACCATGAGGCACAGCACGAGGCCCACGAGCCCAGCACTGCTTTGCAGCAACTCTGGCTCCATGTTGTGAGTGCTGCGGCATCTATGCAGGCAGCCAGAGCACAAGAAGGCATGTGTCCACTGCCTCCCTGTTCTGTCTCATGAGGGAGGAGGCAGTGGGGGAGTGGCTTGTGAGATATGGCCGTAGAGAGGAGCACACGTTGCAGCTTGAAAAGCATATGTTGCAGCTTGCCTGACCAAGCAGCCACAGGAAGTATCCATCCTCCTGGTGCCCTCCCCAGAGTGCTTCTGGGGCTTCTAAGTCTGAGGCAGTCTCTATTCAGTGTGGATGCACTATTTCAGACTCATTTGAACTAATGTCATTGCTTCCCCATAGTGAGGACACCCTAGTTTGAATTTGTTACATCAGGAGTCATTAAGTCAAATTTATTAATTTTGAAATAATTTCCTAGTGTGTACATGGCTTACGTGTGGTGGGGTGCAGTACTGTGAATAGAATTATTGTGATATAAACTTCTCTGGCCTTTTTGCACAGAACCAGTCTGTATGTTGGGAGGTGCATTCGTTATTGTGGTTTCTCCAAATGTATACTCAAAGGGGCTTGTGTGTCTGTCTGTCAGTGTAAGTGTGTAGACATAAATACACACATTGAATGGGCTTGGTGAAGAAATATCAAATACAGCTATTTTCCATATGATGCAAAATAAAAGGAATGAATGCAAGAAAGCTCAAGAGAGAGAGGAGATTTATATGAAAGAAAATGTTTCCTACTAGGAAGGATTTATTCTTCACTACAATAAAACACTCTGACCTCTTTTTTTCCAAAGAAAAAATAAAATCCCATAATAAAACCTCTGCTGCTATGCATATCCCCTGAGCAGTGACATTAAAGTGGGAGCACCACACAGGGGAGTGCAGTGATCTTGGAACTCTGGTTTGCCAAGCTGTCTCCATATCCCAGCACATTATTGCTTAATGTGAAGCCAACACAATGAAAAGGAGACATATATGACCCCTGCTTCAGAAAGCAATTCTTATCTGTCATTACACAAAAGGGGTGCTTCAACATCCAGCCTCCCAAACAACTTATTTATTGCAGGGATGCTTACAAGTTAGAAAGTACTTTTTACCTCACCTAAGATCCAGCCCACCAGTTGTTATTTCTGCTTAGTGCCACATCCAAACCAGTTGCCCATGAAGATTCCTGTACTCGGATATTGAGGCAGGCTTGCGATTTGCTAATGCCATGCAGAAAACCCCACCTGCCTTTCACTGAATTCCAGGCTGTTGGTTTCTTTCCAAAAGATAAGTCAAGTCAGGAATTTAATCAGATGTAAACACTGCACCCATGTTCAGCACCAGTGATCTGCTACCTAGCCAGGAAGGACACACCCATAATTAGTAAAAGGAACTAGCAAAGAGCTGCTATGACTGAAATCACAGGTGTAACGCTGACCCTAATACGAGTTCTAGACACTTAAATAACAAAATAGCCTTAACTTAACCAATAGTCCAAATGGTCCTCTAGGCTCCATCCTAGACAGAGTGCCTCTTGCCTCTAGCTCTGTAGTGTGAGCTTGCAGTGGTGAGTCCCAATTTCGGGTGCCTCTCAAGGAATCTGTCCCCATGGTCACCCCAGGTTATGATCAGGGCTACTTCTGCTGGGTCTGGACTGCTTTACAGGTTGGCTGTATTTTTGTGCACCTGATTTGCTGTCTGGGTCAATTTCTTAATGCTGGGCTCTGTCTGGGATGAAGCTTGTTCCCTCTCACAGCAGCTAAGAATGTCATCTGTTCATGTTGTGTAGCCTTTTCTCAGAGCCAGTGTGGTGGCCTGCACATTCATTCCCAGTCCTCGCTTGGGCAGGGGTGAGCTCTTGCTCTGTTGCAGTTCTGCTTCTCCAGTGGGAGGCAGGCTGGCAGCAAGAAGTCTGAGTGGCATTTCCTCCTACTCTTCTAGGAAAGGAAGGTTCTGGGGACAGAGGAACCAGCTCTTGTCTCACGCTGCTGCCTAATCAACAGGCTGGCCCCTTCACACTGCTGACAGGTTAAGTGGAGGCTCCCAAAGAGCCTCCAATAGAGAGCCTTCTGGCAGGGCTGCTACAATTTGTACCAGCTGCAATAAGCCCCAGTTAAACCAACCAGTGATCTCCTTAGTACAGCACCCTCTGGCCACTTTGTCTCCTCAACACACCCCGATGTGCCCCCTATACTGAGGGTATAGATAGAAGAGAGCAGTGTAAAAATGACTAGAACAGTTCTACCCATGCCATTTAAATCCTTGGCTATAGCAGCTTTATGGGCCTTTGGGTTGTATTGGTGCACAAGCCAGCACCCCAGAATCTGTCCCCAAAAATGCATTCATAAAATCATAGAATACTAGGAATTATAGAATACTACGACTGGAAGGGACCTCGAGAGATCGAGTCCAGACCCCTCCTGACATGGCAGAAGACTGTCTAGGGGCAGAAGCTAGCTGAAGGGAGTAACTACATGTAAGCAATCCAAAGCCCTAGGTGTGCCACACTTTGGACCTATCCATGAGCACGCACACATGCGATTGCATAGGGGAATATTTGATTAAATCATGTGCTCTGCTTTTCAGGCCTTTCATTGAGTATTCAAAACACTGAGTGTTTCTGAGAAGTACAGTAGAGTGAAATAATTCATGTCACTGAGCCCAAGCTTGGTTGGGTTGTTTAATTTAACAGCAAAGAAGAACAAGAAAAAGCATGTTGTTGGTTTAGCCAATTTGTTCATTTTGTCATGGCTTATTCTGAAGAAAAAGGCAATATATTATCACTGCACTGCAACTATGGACCAAATACAACTCCTTCCTCTGTACGCTCAGACAGCCCTAAAATTAACAAGAAGCTGAGTGTGGGAACTGTGCAACTTTTGTGTTCTGGTTCCATTAGCTATCTTCTAGCTTTGGTGGGAAGAGTGCATTTGGGTGAGTGGTGGGAGTAAATTGAGGGGTCAATGATGTACAGGCCAGTGTATCTGACAATATGGAGATCAGTGGGCTAAAATACTTACTCATGTGCAGGAGCATCCTGTCACAAGGGTTGCCGTATTAGTAATGATGGTGCTGCCAGATGATGGGTTAGGCTAAGGAGACGATTGCTTTTACCCTGACTGCTCTTCCATCTTCTGCATAAAGATTATTTACTCAAGCTTAGAGCACATAGCCAAAGGGGAAGGACATCAGCATTTGGCCCAACGTGTTAGCAAGAAGAAAGGATTTAGCTTAGAATATGTTGCTTCCGTCAGGTTCTTCTACTACACTAGAATTAAGCATGAGTATTGTTAATAGCAAAATGTTTTATGAAAGAAAATTTAGGCTGTGGAACTTCTGTGTCTAAATGCAGTGCCTTCTCATACCAAATAATGTAGTTTATTTCAGCTTTGCTTCTTTCTAAATGCAAATAACTTATCTGATAGATTCCTGAGGGAACATTTAATGTCATTCTTCACTTAATTATAAATGCAAATAACTTATCTGCTTATATTCCTGAGGGAACATTTAATGTCATTCTTCACTTAATTTTGGGTCCTATTAGCAAATAAAGCTGGCATTCTTAACAATTTTGACATTTGTCAACCTTTTAATAGTTGTTCCTTAAAAAGATAGTAGGATAAGTATTTAAGAAGTTGTGCAATATCTTTTACAGCTACAAAGATTTTTTGAGACATTCTTCAAATCAAGTTCCCCTCAGCAAGCCTTCGATAATATGAAAGCATCTATAAGCAAACTCTTACTAGTAGCTGAGATATTTAGTGAATCACCCGACATGGGACCAAAGAACTTCAGTAGGTACGTAGCTTCCAATAAATAAATGCAAAGTTATTCTCAGGTTTTTAAGAATATTATGGAAAGTATTAAAGTACATAGATTCTGCTGTAACAAAGAAACTGATATTTCATATTTGATATTAGAGTGAAATAATGTGTTTGGTTAATAGAGATTTTCAACTGCAGTAGCATCCACCTTCTCAACTTGAGGGCTAAATATACTATTTCAAAAAAAAATCAAGGAGTTATAATCAATACCCAGGGTCAGATTCTATGTATTGCTCAGGCAGTACAAAGTGAGCAGAAACCTCCCGAAAATGAGGAGTTCCCAATGGGTGTTAATCTGACGTAGCTGTTTCCTATGCTTCCTTGCTTTGAGCCTCTAGGGTTGGAAGAGTGATTGGTGTAGCCTGTTTGCTCCAGCTGTCTCCATTTGGTAATATGGTCCTTTAGTGCCTGTAGCTGACTGTTGCAAATTACAGAGGCCTCTGACTCTGTGTGCAAGCATGCTCTGAAAATAACACTAATCTCTCTCTTCTCACACCCCCTCCCCCAAATATATATATATTGTGTGTGTGTGTGTGTGTGTGTGTGTGTGTGTGTGACACCCCCCAAATATATATATATATTGTGTGTGTGTGTGTGCCAGAGAGAAAGAGATTGTGAATGTAAATATAGTTATTTTTAAGAGCTGTGCAGCTAGTTTTGGTTCACATGGTTTCACCAAACCAAATTGATGAGTTGGCTGTTTCTCAGGCATGGGATATCTAAGTTTGCTTGTAGTTCCAGGCTCATATGAATGCAAAATCCCATCATGCAATTGCAGCAAAGACCTTTCAGGTCACAATGGAATCCATGAGCTTCGCTATCCACTCACCCTCATATCACATCTGTTTCCCTCAAAATGTCACCCATGCAGTTGCAGAACCCCATACCCTCCAGCAAGTGTTTCCTTCCCCAACACATCCCAAAACCTAAAGTACCACAGAATGTACTGAACACTAACAGAGGAATGCCTAAACTGAAAAAAAACCCAAAAACAACAACAAAAAAACCCCGTACAGTTAGAAATGCCCATTCCATCCTCTGTCTGTGTTTGGCGCATTCCTTACAGTTAGAAATGCCCATTCCATCCTCTGTCTGTGTTTGGCGCATTTGGTGGTATTTTAGGCTTCAGAGTAAAATAATGAAGCAGCAACCATAGCTTAGAGTAGCATTTCTCAGTGCAGCTACTGCTGAATAGGTTAGGGAATGAGTGATGGGCAACACTGTGCTTATCTATATCTTTATGGTTAAGAACTGACCAATGGGGGTGTGTGCAACTCCTCTCTACTGGGTAGGTTTAGCATTGTTAATTTGTGTTTTAGAAGTACTAGGGTGCTTAAAGTCACGGGGATGCTCCATTACTTCAGTGCTGGAGGAATGGGGTTCTGTCCTCCCAAACCTTGTCTGGTCCTAGGTGGTCATGGATTTGTTACAACATTTTTAACACAAAACCTATTTTACTTGGCTTGCTAAAAGAAACAACAGTGAAAAACACTATAGTGGCTTGAGGTCTCTAGGTCAGCTTCCCAGCTGGTGTAAACTAGTATCACTCCATTTATGCCAATGAAACTTTGCTAATTTTCATGAGCTGAGGATTTGAACCTATTTGAATGTAAGTGTATCAACTGCTTCCTCCTGTTTTTACTTATTTCACATGCCATATTTAAACGTTTGCATATTTATTTTATACTTATAATCTAACAAGTGCTATTTTTGTCTTATTTAATTTCAGATGCAGTCTGTGTTTTCAAATGTTAACCTTTGACATTGGCTTCAACACCTCCATACATCCAGTAGTTCTTGAGGTAAGCATGTGCCAATCATATTTTTTAAAAAATGTTTTACTGTAAGTAATCTATGAGATGATGGGGAGGGAAGTGTTATTTATCCAGTAGTGCTTGAGGTAAGCAGGTGCCAATCATATTTTTAAAAAAATGTTTTACTGTAAGTAATCGATGAGATGATGGGGAGGGAAGTGTTATTTTCAGTACTTTTGCAGTTATCTTCCCTGGTGATAGGAGCTCTAGAAAACCAAATGGAGAAACTGGCCCTTCTGAAAAGAGCATACACTAAAAGAAAAGCATAGTGGAGAACTGCCATTGATGGTTGCCCCCCTAACCATTAGGCAATTATACACAAATCTTGGACCTGGAATAATTGCTTATGGACTAAAGAATAATACTAATATGTCCAGTTCTAAGATCTCTACAACATCTGAACAGAATCTAAACAACCTGGCTAGAAGGCATTGTGGGCTAGTGGAGTAGGCATTGGCTGTGGAATGAAACTTCTCATAGCTGAATGGGGGAGACCAAGGACTTCAGGCCGGCTAAAAGTCTCCCAGTGCAATCTAGAGCAGTCTAAGTGCTGCACTAAATTGTGTTGGCTGGTCCTACTCCTCTAGAGGCCATTATGCCTGCAAAGCTCTGTGGAGCACAACATACTCTGACTTAGAGATGGGCAATCTGTGGCCCATGAGCTGCACACGGTTCATCAGAGTTGGCAGCTGATGAGCCACCAGACAAGATGTTTACTTTGTGTCCAATCAGTGGGAGCTGTGGAAAGTGGTAGCCAGTAAGTGGTGGCCTTACTCTAGTCTATCTTGCTTATCGCCTACGTGATTGCCAAAGCAAACTTCTCACAGAAATGGGATTTCTGCAGGCCCCTTGCATTACTGCTACAACCGAGTAAAACAGTTACAAGTTTTTGGGAAGTGTATATGCTGCAGGCAAGGTTTAGGAGAAGATCAAGGCTTACAGCCTGCACTACTTTCTACAGCTCCCACTAGCCAGGAAGGGCAAACCATGGCCAATAGGAGTTGTGGGCTTTGTGACTGTGGACACTCAGGTAAATAACCTGACTTCGGCCTGCCAGTGGCCTATCCTGACAAACTGTGTGCAGCCCATGGGCCCATTACTTTGACCATCATGCTGCTTTCCACTTCCCAGACCACCTCAACATTCCCTTTACACCATGAGGGAGATGAGTGTAGTGTAGAACTGTACGCCAGCTTTGTACCACCCACTATACCCCTACATCAGAGGAATTCTCAGCTGCCCTTTTAGGGCCACTTTCCAGCAGTTTTGAACCGCTTCAGGGAATTTAAAAATCCTCCATACAAAAGAAAAAAAGGAAAAATATATTTTAAAAATACCCACGAAGGTTCCAAAACCAAAAATTAAAAAGCAATTCTTGGTTAAAAAAAATCAATTTAGGTTGCTAAACAATAACTCTGTAGTTTCCTATTACATTATCTACAAACCGCAAAGACATGAGTTGACATAGTAAATCTTGCACTGACCACAGAATAAATATAGATACTTGGTTCTTATTAAGTATAAGGAAATGCAAATTTCATCACAGCTTACTAACCCAGTAAGTAACCCGGTGAGCAATAATTTTTGATCGGGGGGGAGGGGTGCCCCAAGATTTTGGTAAATGGTCAAGGGTTGCACTTTTCCTTGGAGGGGGGTGCAGGATCTGTGATGGAGGTTGAGTGCAGGAAGAGGCTTGTGGTAGGGGATTGAGATGTGAGGAAGGGCGTTTGAGGGTGTGAGGGGGTTATGACCTGGGGCAGGAGATTGAGGTGCAAAGAGGGACTACAGGTTCTGGGAGGGAGTTGTAACCAGGAAGAGGGCTGCAGGAAGGGGGATAAAGAGTTTGGGTTGTGACCTGGGGCAGGGGGAATAGAGTGCAGGAGGTGGTAGGTTGCCAGCTGCAGGCTCTGGCCGAGAGGTGCTTACCATTCTGGCCAGCAGCCTAGCAGGACCCTGGTGCAGTCTTACTGCCTGCTATACTCTACATGCCACTCAAAGCAGCTGGCTGCTGGGGCCATGTGCTTTTCTGTGCTGTGTGCCATGTGGGGAGGGGAGGTCTGTGGGCTGCAGGCATGGCCCAGGCAGTTCCCATTTCCCATCTCTAAGGGGATATGGAAGGACAGTGCTGGGGGCAGGGGCAGCATACAGAGCCTGCCCTCCCTCCCTTATGGGGCACATGCCTTGCAGAGATGAAAAGGCTGACCCCAGTAGCTGGCCACTTCAAGCAGCTTGTGGACAAAGCAAGCAGGGAGTCTGCCCTAGCTTCTTGCTGGGCAATTGGCAATGGGCCATTGGTGCGGATCATTGGCATCCTAGGTGATGGTGACAAAATTGATTCAAAGCTTTGGTGGGCTGAATCTGGTCCACAGGTCTTATTTTGTCCACCTTACTACTAACTTCAACTCAGATCCTAAATAAATACAGTTCTTTCATGAGTAATCCTCAAAGGTAAACAGAGTACAAAATCCTTTTGAAAACAAAAGCTCTCTACGTGCTAATGACACCTATTGATGAGCCTCAAATGCAAGTCAAAATGCATATTGTAGCTACTTTCTGGTGCTAATGTTAAATGCTTTCCTATGACAGCACATGTTCATTATTCTAAAAAAGCAATTCGAAGTACTTCTGAAAAGATATCTACTGTCAGCTACTAAATATTAACAGATATTAATACTGTAACAGTATGTCTTAAACATATTTATATACAGAAGCAAAGAAAATAAGAATATTAATTACTTCTGGGGGAACTCTGCACCACTAGAATTACAAATTTTGTGCCAAAAAATTAAAAATGATGGGCACAGTATTTTAAAATTTTGCTAAATTCTGCATATTTTATTTGTCAATGTAATTGCTCTGATTTCAATTATTTCAGTAATTTATTTAAACTACAATACAATGTGTGGAGAATAGGAAAGGGGAACAATGGGGAAATCCCCAAAACTTCTTGCCTAATAGTAATGTACTTAGGTTTGAGCCTTTATTTCTAGTTATTAGTCAACAAATATAGGCAGCCATATGGTCAGTGTTACAACGCAGGCAACTGAAGAGCAAGTTATGGCTGAGGAATCAAACTCACAATTTGTATTGGCTTCTGACCAACTCCGGTAACGTCAGTAGCAAACAGTTCACGGAGCACATTTTGAGAGGAAATGTTTTCAGTACAAAAATTTAGACCCGTTCTAATCACTTAGGGTACGTCTTCACAGCAACATTATTTTGGAATAATTGATGGTATTCCGAAATAACATGGTGCATGTCTATACTACAAGTCTTTATTTCAAAATAATGTTGAGCTGGAGGACTTCTTACTCCAACTCATGGTAACCTTCATTTAATGAGGAATAATGGAAGTCAAAGGAAGAGTGTTTTTCCTGGGACTTCCTGCTGTGTAGACAGCACCAAAAGCCAAATCAAGTTATTTTGACTTAAGCCACACAATTGATGGTGCTGAAGTTGCATAGCTTAATATGACTTTAGCGCTGCTGTGCAGACGTACCCTAAAGCTCCATGAACATTTATAAACCCATAGAGTCTTTTACACCACTCTGGCAAAGTAAAGGAGCCTTAAAATATTTACACCTGTTTTATACTCTTTGGGGAATTCACTAAGCAGGCAGGTGGCAATGTTCTGCTCTGCTTGAGGGGGTAGAGGATGTCCCTCACCTACCTCCTCAGAAATCCCTACAGACTTGCCCCTCCACACTGAGGGTATGTCTACACTACAGCGCTAATTTGAACTTATTTCGAATTAGTTAATTCAAAATAAGCTAATTCTAAGTAGCGCATATAGACCCAAAAATTAAGTCGAATTAGCGTTTTGCTAATTCGAAATAGTGCGTCCACACTGATTGGAAGCTGGGTCGCATTTAAGGGTAGCTGAAACTGGTTCCAGCAGGGCATCAGGTCAGTAGTTGCTTTGTGTGGCTGCTGTCTGAGGCTATCTGAGGCTCATGCTTAAAGGGACCCCCCACCCTCCGGACAGCCAGTTCTCAGCTTTTCCGCTTGCTTGTCTACCTCGCCGAGGGACAGCAAAGCGTTTTCCTCTCTGCCTGCCCTGCGTGCCCCTCATCTGTGTCTGGACACCAGCAATGACTGGTGGGACTGCATCATCCTGGAGTGCTGGGGAGACCAACAGTGGACCCAGAACTTCAGAATGAAGGAGGACACCTTCCTGGAGTTCTGCGAGTGGCTCGCCCCTGCTCTGAGGCAAC